GAGAGCCAGGTTTGTCTGCGCCGGCCCGTCTCTACAGACAGACTGTGCTTGCTGAGTCTGTACATCGTCAGTGTTTTCCTGAGCTTCACATCAGTCATTGTGCTCAGGTAGCTTGCCGTGGTGTACTCTCGATTTAGTGCCGAATAACATTCTAATTTGTGCTGGTTTTTAATGGTGTTTGTCCAATGTGTGATGTACTTGTGTTTCTCTGTGTTGATGATCTGTGTGGGCCGAATGGTTGAGAGTGAGTGTGAGTTCTGAGGCTGGCTGATCTCTGTCAGTCTCAGCACCAGCTGAAGGAGGGGACTCTTCGTGAGGCTCAGCTCTTGGTGTTTCAGGGCTTTATAATGGTATGTGCTGGGGTCACTTGTCTTTAGGTGTTTCCAGAATTTGATGGCTCTTTTTTGGATGTTTAGAAGGAGAGGGTATTGGCCTAATTCTGCCCTGCATCCGTTATTTGGTGTTTTTCTTTGGACTTTGAGTATTCTTTTACAGAAATCTAAATGCATTTTTTCAATTGGATGTTTTTCCCAGTTTAAAAAATCAAATTTTATAGGTGGACCCCAGACTTCACTGCCATATAATACAATTGGTTCAATTACTGATTTGAAAAGTTTGAGCCAGATTTGGATTGGGATGTCAATTTTAATTGATCTTTTGATGGCATAGAAAGCCCTTTGAGCTTTCTCTTTGAGCTCATTCACAGCCAAAGTAAAGTTACCTGTTGGAGTAATTTTTAGGCTGAGGTAAGTGTATGTTTTTGTGGTTTCGATGGTTCTGTCTGTCTGTCTGTCTGTCTGTCTGTCTGTCTCTCTCTCTCTCTCGCTCTCTCTCGCTCTATCTCTATCTATCTATCTATTGTTCTGTCTATCATTCTTTTTATTCTTTTTATCATTCTATCTATCTGTCTGTAATAATCATAAAGGCTTATTTGTATGCTCTTTCTCATCCCCAGGCACAAGGCATCCCTATGCATTAAACATCAAAGACACTTGAGATCTCTGCTCAGATGCTGCTAAGAGGATATTTTGGGGGAAAAGGTAGAAAATTAAGAGTCTACCCTCCATCTGCCTCTGCTGTGACAAGAGTTTCATGAATTCAACATCACACCGTATCAGCAGCGCAGCCGCGGTCTATGGGGAAAAACTACACGTCTAGTAGTTATGATATTGACCAGCAGTTAACTGTGTGTAGTTTGTTTCAGTGATGAAGTTTAGTTGTTTAGAGTCACTGTATCTTAATGCTCACTGCGTTGGGAAACAAATCATGTGAAACAAATTAAAGCATGATATAAGCGGTTGAAAACGGAGAGCATCGGGACATGCATGCATAATGCAAACACACTTTCCACTGAGAGCGTTTGCCACATTATTGGCTCCACATCGTCAATTGTCTGTGTTTTTTCGATTCGATATCCTCCATCTCTCGCGCTCTGTTCTCCCTGGCTTCTTTTATTGATGATTAATCTTCCATATCTGCTTCTGCGCTTCTCATCATCCTCTCCGAATCACTCTCTCCCAGGTATAAATTCTGTTTTCTTTCGCTCTCTGCATCCTCCTTTATGCCCGTGTTTGTTTTCCAAGCTTGTCTCAGTCCCCGAGGTTAAGAGGTTTGTCATTCTCTGCCAAAGAACTGGAGCTGATTCCCACGACTGCATGCGTCCTGTGGCCTCACCTGCTGCAGAGATACCGAGAGATTAACAAAGAGACGGCAGAGAACAAACAGCTCTTTGTGTGAGACAATTCACGACACACCTCAGGAGAAAAGCTTCAATGTAGTTTAATATCCTCAATTACAGAATCTGTTTGTTAGTGACTGAGTGAGCAGGGAACGGATGTCATTCAGAAGAGTTACAAAAAGTTAAAGAGTGCAACACCTTGGTGTCAGCGGTATTTTTCACACAGGGTTTTTAAAAAGTTTTCATTCAAAAATCAACCAACGAGGTGAATCACAACTTAGCAAACTAAGGATTTGAAAACTGATCAAAAAGACAAAGGAAATACTGTGTACTTTAGAATGACAAACTATTGATTTAAAGAAATTATGTATATTACATTTATTGCAAAATATGCACCACAAACATATAAATAGTTTGAGAGCATAAAACTCTGACTCTTACATTATTTGCAGTGATTCATACAGGTGGGCGGAGCTAAAGAGTTACTTTTGGCACAGTTTGCTTGTTTCGATTCTCTGATTGGTGGAGATTTCACTGCAGGATTATGGGTAATGTAGTTTTCACTGGGAATTCTGCTGTTAAACATGATTATTTAAAAAATAGGTTGAAATAATGCACACTGACTGCTTCCATCAGTTAACAACCTTACAGCTCACCTTAGGTCTGTCTTTAATGGTTTATAAGTTATTGTTAAAAATCAATTATCTTATACACTCTTAAAAATAAAGGTTCTTTGTCCGCATTGATGGTCCATGAAGCTCCTTTAACATCCACGGAAACTTTCCATTTCACAAAAGGTTCTTTAGATTCCCTTACCAAAGAGAAGTATACTTCAAGTTTATTTTATTAAGTATACTTCAAGTTCAAGTATATTTTTATATCAGTGTATACAAATATCAGTGTACTAGTAGTATACTTGTAAGTGTACTATTTCAATACTCCTTGGAACTAAATTGGCCCACTTTTTAGTATATAAATGTATACTTTTAAGTATAACAGTAGTAAACTGAGTGCACAACTCAAGTTTTTTTAGTTTGTACTGCAACTATACTAAAAGTGAACTTATAGGTATACTGATAGTTTACTAATTAAATACTTGTAGCATTTTTAGTA